TGGAAGGAATTTAGCTTATTAAGCGAGAGTAAGAGAGATTGAGCGTTTTAGAACAAAAAATTCAATCTACGAAAAAAGGTGATGTTTAGTAATATTAATATCTAGATTCTAGGTGTTACGGAGTTGGAGGAACTGGGGGCGGATCACGTGTAGCATGGCCCGTGCGTGCTACTGGACTGCTGTATTTAGGCTCTCGTTCCTCTGGTACTCTCTTCTTCTCTCACTTAGTTGTTCGTTCAATATAGCAGTTTCCGGTTTGACTCAGTATTCATCACAGCAAGCAGTGGTTCACTCCACACGGTCACACTAGGGATAACTCTATAGGGAGCCTAGCGTATAACTACTATGTCAGAAGACGAGGGCACAATGTGGAATAGATAAGCTAGAATATAGAGAGAAGCTAGCTAAGAGGCGAGTAGAGCTCTAATATATAGCTATCTATTAGCCTAGAAGTGTCCGGAATAGAACTAGTACCTTCTATAAAATATACTAGTGCTAGATAGTAGAGCTAGGAGTACTTATAAGTACTTATATCGTAATATACTAAGTAAGAGTATTTAAGATATTAAAAGGATATTTCTTAGTACATTTAAATCTAGAGCTAAGCGATTCGTCTAGATTTCGTTCGAAGTAAATAAGATATACTTAGATCCTAGTATTACTAGTAAGTATTAGAAAACAAGGGTATAATATAAAATAAATAAGCTAGAATATAAAGAGAAGCTAGCTGTAAGGAATACTCAAACTGGCTAACTAAACTTGGCTGGGTGTTCGCTGGTTGGTATGCTATGATAAGAAGAAGACTATCGGGTTGTTCACTTGGAAGTGAACTCGTTACTTGTATCAAAGATGTCAAACTAATATGATAAGATTGATAACTAAGTTGAGCACGAAGCTCCTATCTAATGGCAGACGTGCCAGTCTTATATAGAACCTTCGTTCTCCTGGATCAGTGCCCGTCGCTCTGATCCTTTCTGGCTCCTCAGAGGTCGTCAGGCCGATCACCTCTGATGCTAATTGATCACGTGACAATAACTAAAGGAAATCCTTGGATCGTCTAACTAACCTAGTCGATCCCTATTTGCTATAAGAGCCATGATAGTGCTCAACCTGTCAGGGCGCCGCCTGGTCTTCACTTATCACGTGCGCGCACATGATTCGTGACACTTAGCTATACCTAGACCCGTAGCTAAAACTACTACTCTCGCGCTTATATTAAGCTAAAATTATAACCGTAGATTTTAGTAAAGTACTAATACTTTACCTAAGCGTCTTAGTATATAATTAACTACCTTCATATCTTTTTTCTTAGCATTTAAGTCTTTATTAAATAACGTATTATTATTAAAGTATATGTAACCGTGTGGAGTGAACCACTGCTTGCTGTGATGGATACGGAGTCAAACGGAAACTGCTGTATTGAGCGAACAACTAAGTGAGGAGAGAAGAGAGTTCCAGAGGAACGGAAGCTTAAACACAGGATGCCAGCGGCACGCACGTGCCGTGCTACACGTGACCAGACCCCAGTCCCTCCAACTCCGTAACAGTATAAAACCTTAGCTAAGATATTTACTTAAAAGCCCGCGAGTTCGTACGAGCTAGCGTAGCTAGCGAGGCGTACTTATAACCTAATTACTTAATAATAAATTAATGAATAAATAAATAATAAATAAATTATATTAACTTATAAAGAGACTATTAAAGGTAATTAGAAGGTAAGGGTAAGCCTATAAGCCTATCTAGTTTTATACTTTTTAAGAACTTTAGAATAAAAGCTATTTAATTTATACTTAGATATAACTTATATGTATATTAATTAGTATTACTTAAACTTTTTAAATATAACTTATATAAGATAATAAAAAATAATATAAGAAACCTAGTCTTAAAGAAACGTAGTAAGCTAGTAGTTATTTACTTATATAATTTAATATAAAAAAGATAATAATGATTAAGTTAAAAGTAACCATTAATATAATATATACTAGCTTAGAATTAATAAAGAACTATTCTCTTTATTTATTATATTAAATATAACTTAACTTATAAGAAATCCTAATTATTTATATAAATTTTACTATTATTATTTTATTAGTTATTAACTTTATATAGAAATACTAAATACTAAATTACTTTATTAATCTAGTTCTTCTAAATATTATTATTATTTTAAATAAGTACCTAGATATAGAACTCTTTACTTGATATAGATATTATACCAAGGAATATATTTTATTTAAAAACTTAAAATAATAAAATATAGTAAATAATAATTAAAGTATTAATTATACTTAAAAGTTAAAAATAAAATCTTTTATTAAAGTAGTTAGAATAAAAAGGCTATAAAACTTTTAATCTTTAGTAAAATACGTTTAGTTTAATATCTAATTTAACTAATATTTATAAAGTTTTCTTTATTAACCTATTTAGTTAAAGTAAGAATAATTTAAATAAACTAATTAAAATCGCTAGTTCGCGTAAGTCTTATCATAATATCTAAATATTCTAACCTATTAGAATAATTAAACCCTTCTAGAATCTTATAGATATCTTCTATAGAAATTAGCTAAATTAGAATAAAGTGTTTATAATACTTTAGAAATTTAATATTATTATTTGTACCTTTTAGAATAATTCCATCTTCTATTATTCTATTAGATATAATTAGAAAAAATAGAAATCACTTCGAAATTCCAGTAAAATACCTATGTTTTCCAGTGAATCTATAATGATTTTCAGGTTAATTTCGATGAATTCATTATGAAAAGTCATGTAAGTTTCAATGAAAAACAGTGTATTTCAATTACTTTCATTAGAAAAAAACCATTCTAGCAACTATTCTCATAATTATCATTGGAAAACCCCCGCAAAAACCCCCAAATTCCCATAGAAAACACCGAAAAACAACAAACTAATGGCGTTTCTGTACTTCATAGCTATGTGGCATACGCCCGTCATTCAAATGACCCAATTCTGTACTATTTGCCATCCTTCTACCCTCATTGTGCCTATATTCCTCGAAATTAACGTCATCTAGCGAGTCGGAAAAGGGCTCTCCATTGGACTTTCTGCTGTAAAATGACGTGATACCGCCCAATGGGCGCGAAATCTGTCGTGTAAGAGGTCCAGATGGTGATAAATTCGACATTTCGGGCTTTGGTACGTTCAAATTACCGGTAGATGAAACACGGCGATGCCCAAGGGGTTTTCCATAGCTGGGATTCTTGAAGATTGGCTGTGGTGGCCTTTGCACACCAATGAGCTCTCTACGCATCGCCCGATCGGTTGTAAGGTATGGCGAGTTTCCTTCGAGAGCTGCCAGTGCATCGGTGCGGGCTTTTTCCTTGGTATCATCGTCGGATTCGTCAGAATATAGGTCCGTTGCCATTTTTCCGCGTGGTGTTCGTGAAAAAGCCTTTCCCCGAGTTGGTGGACGAGTAGGGGTGTACGGATCGGATACCTCCTTTTTGCGAGACGACATTTTGACAACATTCAGTGGTTCCGGAGAAAGATCACGATCCGACGTTGGATACGGCAACTGAGTAACATCGTTTGAGTCTTCATCGTACGGAGAATACGTGCCATATTCCTGTATTTGACGGATAACCTCCCAACGGGCACCGGCAGGCTTTGAGAACCATCTCGGTGGCTTTGGAGACCTATTTCTATCCAGGACGGCTTGAGCGGCAGGTGTTAATTGTCGGCCAGGGTAATGATTCTTCGCCGTTGGTGGTGCTCGCTTCTCCATTTTTCGCTTCAGAAGAAGCTCAGCATCGGTGAGATGAAGCTCATCAGAGCGACGAGGACGAGGTGGTGTTTCAGGGGCAGCTACAATATTGGGCTTTGTATTAATTGTAGAGGAATTTCCGCCAGTGGGGTAAGGAGGAACAGGCCAGAAGGTTTGGTTGGGAGAAAAAGGCGGCAATGTCGGTGCAAACGTAGAGATAGTTCCAACGGTACTGAGTGGACCGTTTGGTCGCATTTCTCTCTCATTGGTAGGACCTGTAGTGCCAGGAGTCGTTCGTATGTTTCTCAATTCATGGCCGCGTTCAATATCAGAAGTTCGGGAACGACGAGAACCATTGTTGCCGATCCACGAGCTAGCAGTTTTCTGTACGCTCTTTCTCTTCTTCAATAAATACCACAGACCAATAAGAAGAACACCAAGAGCTGCAGCGCCACCTACAGTGGACCCGGCTATGACAGGTGCTTTTGAAGTATTGCTTGGAACGGGAGTGACAGTTGATGAAGGATTCTCCGTCGTAACCAGCGAAGAAGATGAAGGGGTTGTGGTTGAGGTCAAGAAGGTACTCGAAGCAGATGAACTACTTGGTTTTGTCGTACTTGTTGACGTTAGACGGAAGCCAGGTACTGTTGATGACAGATTTGGAAGCGAAATAGATGTACTAGGCTCAGAAGAGGCGCTAGTCAGAAATACCAAAGGTGCTGTCAAGGTACCAGAGAAAGAGGGTGGCGCCGGTACGGTTGGTGATGGTGGGCGTGGTCTACAAAGAGAAGATAGTGTTAGTATTTTTCTAGGTCTTTGGAGACATTAATAGACTTACATAATAGCAGATGGACTACCAAAGTTCGTGAACGTAGAAGAGATTCCAGGGATGGCGACAATTGTAGCAGTCTGGACGACCGTGAAGACAGGTGCGACGACTGTGGAGGCGACGATAGCACTGGAGGACATTGTAACAAGGTTGACCAAGGTCAAAACCAGGAGGAGGGGATGGAAACAAGCCCACGGACGGGTCTTCATGGTGGATTCTTGGGATTCCAGTTAACCCTTGGTGGAAGGTGATATCGTGAGAGTATGAAGGGAAGTGAGGGTTCCAGCGACGCGGAAACGACCAAAGAACAGCGTGACGAGGGTCGAGATGATCTCAGACCAACTCTAGAACTCTCAAGATACGGTATAACAACTCTGTGTTGATGCGCAACTGTGGTGGTCAGTGGATGTTCGAGGATGGAGGTTGTGCGGTGGGAGAAGAAGGTGAAAGCTGTCAGCGAAATCGGTACCTCGTGACCTCAGTGTTTGCAGACCAGCTGCTGATAGGGAACTTCTCGGTGGAATCAAGACCGCAAGATAGATACAAAATATTTGTACAAGCTTGGAAGTGGTTTAGATTCCTCCTTGAGGAAACCCGAAGTGGTATCTGGCGGTGTACTTGGGAATCCGCGAAGTGGTACTGTGAATCACGAAATAGGAGAATTTGACTTACGCGACAATGGTAAAGGCGCAAAAACAACAGCAGAACGAGATCAGACGGGATGACGGAGAACTTTGGACGAAGATTCGAATTCTGGATGTGTCAGAAGAGAACAGAGTAGGTGGCAGGAAGTGGAACATACAGCTGTCTTCTCTCTTTGCGCAGATGCGCGTATGGTTGTGATGGTTCCTCGTCTGGTCAAGATGGTGGGAGACTTGGGAGAAGAAATTTATGCCCTGATGTCGCCGCAGGGAAGTGTGGGAATGGAAGGGGTCGATAAGGCTATGAATCACGTAGCCCGCGTCCGTCCAATTGTAGAGAGGAAACAAAACTTCGGAGTTATTAAGCGAGAACAAGGCTCTACCACTAGTAGAAATGGGCTTTGAGTCATCGTTGCAAGTCTGAAGTGGATTTGGTAAAATACAAACCGGGAGGGGGTGGGACAACCACAATGTTATCAATCACTTCGTCGTACCCTTCGAGTATCTTGCGCAAAGGGGAAGCCTTTTATAGCTGAGTATACACTAGTGACTACAGAACTTGGAGGGTTTCGGTAATAAGTTGCTGAGAGGAGGCTCTAGGTACTTGAGTTGTTTTATCTTCTACAATAAAACATTACCTCCTAAGCTTCCACTGGAAGGTAGCCTTCTTCCACTTGCAGATACAGTACGACTTCACGAAAGAGTTTTTGAAGAAGCATATATTGTCAAATGGCTCCTCATGTTGTAAACCAAGTATGATGTCTTAATTTGATATGGTTCGGTTGAACCATGAAACACTGATACTCATTTCATACCTGGATTTATACCCACCAGCTGATGTCAACTCATCCACAACCTGTTGCATGCACGATGATTCATTGAAAAAAAAAATGACCTCAGCGTTTCCATCTTTGGAGCGCACAAGGTAATATCATTCATGTGCTTATAATGAACTGTAATCAGTCTGTTAAGGTAGTAGGCAATCCTCCATGTATGTCTTGGCACAAATTCGTAGTAACAAACCTCCATCGCAACAATTCACTCATTCGCGCCGCAAGACAGAATTAATTCAGGAAGCTCAGAAGACATGTTACATCAATGTCCTTGGGTTGTGGTTCTTTGTTGGTGGTTGGTGATTTTGGGGGGGGGTTTGGGCTATTTTTTCGGCTAGCTCTAGCGTCCACGTGAACCGATAGGGGTAAAGTAAACAAAGTCGGTTAGGCATCAGCACCAGAAAAACCACCATTCTTGAAGAACAAGAAGCGCAACAACCCCAGCAAGCATGGACTACATTACAATACTAAATTTAATTATCTTATCATTGTGCCGTGTTCCGAGGGTTCAGCCTCAAACAGGAGGCTGGGGGTTGGCGCTAAGATTACGGGGTGCTGCCCTACCGCGGCGGCAGAGCACCCACCACCCAGATTATTTTCCTTCCTACAGCGTCCTCCGCCTATCACGCCATCTATCCCCATATCAATTGGTAAGCAAAGCAGGCCCTCTGTTCCTACCACAGTGTTCTAATCAATCTTTCTCTTCTAGTTCCACGATTACAGTCGCGCCTGCTACTCTACCAAATTGGCGCAAAAGGCCGACCAAGGTAAGATGCTCTGCGCCCGCTAACCCCCCATCATCGCTGATCAGATGGTAGTGAGTGCCTCAAGGGGCTCAAATATGGGATTCCAAATCCAGAAACACAGTGACCGCTCACCAATACACCAAGCGGTTTGGACCACTGGATGCAGGACGCTCGAAGGCCACCGCGCCTCTCCTCTGAATACAGGATAGTGGAAGTACCAGAGAGGCTATTGAGAAGGCAGTTGCATCTGTTGTGGAGAAGTATGGCGCACCAGATGTGCCCATCAACTCTGCTGGTATTGCAGAGTAAGTTTTGTGTTTCCTAGCTTTATTGGACTCGATCTTTCACTCCTAGGCTCTGGACTTCTGCAAAGTCATTACAAACAATTGTGTGACTCGGCATAACATACTAATGACTTCATAGATCCATCATCATGGCTGAGAGAGCATTTTCAACAAGAAGGTTAGAATACCTGTATGGTTATCTCTCCAACTGGAGACCGTATCACTCCAACCCCATGACCGCCAAACAAGCCTGGTTCTATTGTCCTTGTTGCTTCCATATCTGGCTCCATCGTCAACTAGTGGATTGCGCACAAGTGAGTCTATATTATGACCTCTCCGCATAACCCAGGCACAGCCATATGCTTTCCCTTTCATCTTCTGGTCGTGGTGCACATTGCTAATCATCTGTATCTCCCCACAGATCCGAGTTGCTCATTGAGATCATCGCAGAATACGCAACGAAGAAGGAAATGACGAGCATGAGTTTGGGGTGTTTGTGTAAGTTCTACCGAAGAAGCAGTCACCGGCATATAGTAAAAGGGACTTGCTAACAGGATGTCTGTTGCCAGAGCTGGTCTCTCTCGACAACCGACAGCGACAGGCATGTACGGAGATCATGTGTCGGCTTCGACAAGGAGATTGGATTACCTGAGATCTCAAGCCCTTACCGAGCCCTCGTAGGGGTTTCTGCCCACCCCTACGAGGTGTGGAAACATTTTCCACTATACCAAATGAGCAGCGCCAAAAGATCAGAGGAGAAATTCTATCGGTTGACAACAACACCTCATTTGTTCTCTTCGATGACTTAGTCCCATCTCCAACCAGTTTGGATCATGCAACTAAGAAGTCCGACTGGACTTTGCCACCGAATCCACATGAGAGGACAGTCCATTGGAATATCCCAACCCACATCTTTCTGATCAGCAAATCCTGCCATCGCCAACACCATCAGGCACAGTACCAGTATCCGCACAGATAATTAGGTACATGTACGCCGAGAAGGTTGGAATACCTGAAGCCTGCAGAAACTCTTTCTGGGGACCAGTTTGTTCAGGAGCACCCCAAGTTCCAGTCGACGAGCGGCTGTGGTTTGGTGGTGGAGATCAAGCGTGTCCTTTCCAGAGTCACCCGATTTGCAGATACCGAGCCGACCACACCAAAGAAGACGTAACCAGATGACTCGGAATCTGACGAGTAATTACCACTAGCCTCAACAAGAATCCTCCGTTCTAACACCTTTCGAGGACGGACTTTCTTTCGACAAGATGGGACCACCTGAGTCATCCGCTCGCCATGCAAGCCTTGATCTTCTTTGATCATGTCATCGATGGCCGAGTATCGTAGCCCAATTGATACCGAGACTGCCAAAGAGTCGCCAAAGGATTCACCAGATGCCATACGTGGTGTTGTGATGACGAGGTCCCAAGATACACCGAATTCAAGACCAAGCCTCACATACCGTCTACGACCTTCTTAGTCGCCTCTCCTCGATCAGGAGAGCATCATGGATCATGATGGTGCTTTCTGCTCGCTTCCTCTTTCATTGCTGCAGCAGCTAGCTGGGTGGGGACATCCAACGTCTCCCACATCGTCATCGCAGCACCGAGTACCAGCATCCGATACGCCAGGGGGAACATGGCGGAAATGGTGATGTTGGCCGTGGCGGATATTTGGAGGAAAAGCGTGTGACTTGGTGTCATAGAATGCGCACAACACGAGACCACGCTGAGATCAGGTCCAATGGCTGAGTTAGCACTGGCTACATGTGTGTCTTTGGGTAGCAGGAGTTTCATGTGGACAATGGGATAGATGTGCCTCCTCTGGAGGTACAATAGATATCCCCTCCACATCATCTGGAACAAGAATCGAAAAATGCGTACACCCGCAGAGGCGGAATGCTCTCCCAGTTCTATGCGGGGTGATGCTTTTCCGGATGAATCTTTGCCTACAAGGTGTGCGTAATACCTGGAGTACTTCGATAGTCGGAGATTCCACCAGGACTTTTCCCTTCTTCAGTAACTGCCACCAACTTTTCAAATCAAGCAACCCCTAAATCGAACGGAACATCTGTCGCATTTAGGCCAATCGATGTCATCGAAATGTCTGGGGCTTCTGAGGTAAATTGTAGTTGTTGGTGTGGAGAAAAATGTATTTTTGTTTGTATATGTCTTGTCAGAGTAGTGTAGTTAATTTCTTGGTACAATCGATGATTTGAAATGATATCTTAGCAATGATTCGGCTGCTCCACTGACTACCGCGCGAAATCCCTGTGGGATTATGGATATCTAACAATACAGTCTGGATTTGTTCATTAAGAGGACTTCCAGTGGCAAGGCTACTAAATGGAATACGTACTATACCAACAAGTCATCTTATATTTTAAGATACGAAATGAAAGTGGAAAGCATGTCAAAGAGGAAAAGGAACGAAATGGTATTACATTAATGTAGTAACACAACAAACTCCCGACAGGACTACATCCAGAATCTCCTTTTCAACGATACTCAGCTGCTCATGCTCTCGTTCCTCGCTGCAACCGGCGATTCACATATGCGTACTCTCTTCTGAACACACCCGTACGCTCTAAAAAGCGTGCTTGCTCTGTGGGTGCCATATTGGGGTTATGGTGCACCGCTCGATCGTGTGAGCTTATAAATTCCCACACGATGCTATGCAGCATGGTTAAATTGGTCTGCTGCAAAATAAGTCAGAATCGCAAACTGGTGATGGCCAAAGAAACCAGCAGAGATATCCTCCTTACCTCAGTAAAAACGCCGTCAATCTTCTACTGTAAATGCATAAACAGTGGCCGAGGAATAAAATATGGAGCCCCTGCTTGGGACAACACTTCATGAATAATATTAAGATGCCGGCTGACGGCCCGTCCTCTGGCTCTCGACAGGACTGCATAAGCAAAAGGGGAACGCCGTCCTTCCTTAACCATAAATTCTAATCTGGCCAGATCAATTTCAAATATCTTTTGATTCCCATAATGATTCATGCGTACTTGTTGGCGCATGTCTTGATCGTTTGGGGGGCGGTAAGGAGCAGGAGGCATCCATCGGGATTCATACGCCATGTCGTCTGGTGGATTGGAGGAGCTCATAGTTGTCATGAGGTCTCAATTCTAAACCAGAACTGTCCTCTTTAAATTGAAGGTTGGGTAGGATTGAGGTAGAGTCTGCGTGCTTTCTCTCGCCTTCTTCTTCTGGAACCTTGTTGATTTGGCTTTGGCTTCTTTTTGCTTTTAGCGGCAGTTGTTATGTCAACTCAGAAAAATGCTCTTTCGCTGTTGAGGCGCTTCTCTATGTGGTGATTTGATCTTGCATGAACGTTGGGTCGGTAGACAGCGACGTTACTCCAGGGCAGGTAATGACCTTTGGTATGGCAAGAATGTGGCAGATGTACAATGTAGAATCTGCAGTAAACAATTAACGAGGCAGCTGAAGGGCTTTCGAATCCTTCACTGACCTTTGTGGCGTTATGTGACGAGCCCGAGGGTTGGTACTCTGGTACCGAATCGGAGGAGACTTTGCTATCCGCGTATTACACTTTGGCGCCCTCCAAGTATTTCAAGCTCCTTGTGGGAGATTTATTTGAAATGATAGTGACCATTAGTAGCATGAGCTCTCCTACCAGTGCTACACCCCAAGGGATCTGGTGAATGATACTTGGCGAAGGTGCGGTATCGACGAGCGATACTTGTATGCAAATCAATTTTGATGTTGAAGAATATCTAGGAGGCGTATCGCACTAACGTCGAAAGCAGGCTTGGTGGATGACTAGCAAACGCAGAGGGTTGGATGTTAGCATTTATTCTTGGATGTACTGGAGGGTAATTTGGAGGAAGATTGGCTGGCACACACCTCTTGTGCAAGCAGCGTCTCGCTTGCGGATCGGAATAACCAGTAATCTACCAGTAGATTGTAGGACTGATTCGGTAGAAAGTGGATGTGGGAGTTCTGTGTATTCGTAGGCAAGTGTCCCAAAGTTCGGTGGAGAAGGCAGAGCTGTCCTAAGATAGTTGACCCCAGGCAGCTACCCAGAGCTAGAGAGCCGTTGCAAGGGGGGGAGGGCCACACCTTGAGTGCTCAGGAACTCCACTCCTTTCTCCAACCTCTTCTAACACAACAAACACAACAACCTTTGGCAAAATAGAGCTGGAGATATACAGGCAACGATGCCGTCGGCATAAAAGCCGTAAGTGTATACCCTCTATGACATTCCCTTCTCATTTCGGTGATCTGAACGGGAAAACAGGGCTGGCACTGGTACTATGCAAGATCATCAATCACAATCGACGCGAAAGAGCAGGTCAGTTGTCCGATTCTCTTCGCCCCATACCCCCTTCTTTGTAGTCAAAACACTCAGTTAAACGATCTCTTCTCGGCATATCAGTACACTAACAGCTGCTCATAAGATCGCTCAAAAGACTCGGCAGACAATTCCTACTATCCACACCAGGTGGTCGGTTCGATAACTACAATAAACTCATCAAGGAAACTCTCCCCGATTTCAAGATCTCCAGCGATGAAGCAACTCAATCGACTGACCACCTGGTGTCACCATAACGACTGCGGCAACCAAATTCAGAACAACAAGGTGCTGCAGTACTGGAGCAACATGACTGAAGGACTTCACCACGTACGCCGAGGAACTCCTCAAAGATATGGAAGAAGATGTATCTGAAAAGGTACAATAGATAATTACAGAGTAAGAAGATTATCATTTGTTTTTCTCCATCGCAGTTCAGGGGTTTGGCAGCTAATTCTATGAAGCAGGTTCTTACTGATGAGGGAAACCATCGAGAGCGTCTGGGACGGTGGCGCAAATTGGATTTAGGCAAGAAAGTCAGACAGGCGGCGTCTGGGTCTGGGTTTCGTTGAGCTCTTTTTCAAACTTCAAAACATGTCCTATTCAAAGAACGTGGGGTTCCTAATTGCCTGCCTTCAAAACGCCAACGACGGTAAGAAGTTGGCGATTGGGAACTCCACGGGAGTATGAATCACTATCACTCGATCCTGACTCGGATGAAGAACAACAAATCGAAGATATAGAAGAGAAGAGGCCTCACGTTTCGTGGAGAGAGCTCTTTGGGTATAACAGATTGCCAGAGAGTAAAGACCTTGGGGACTTGTGCATTGGCATATCGAACAGAGCAACAGAGTTTATTGACAAATTTCTTCCTTCAAGCGTGATATCCCCTATTCAGGTGGCAGGTAAGCGAGCTATGCTGTACAATTTGATGAGAAAGTAATGCTTGGGCTTTGAGAGAACCATTTACAATCTGGGAGTGTATAAAGAATTCTGCAGCAAAACATTGAAGCAAACTTGTGCCGGAGCAGATTTCATTGTAAACCCTTAACTTGTACCACATGCTGTGCGAGTTCACAGAGACGCATCAACGGCAGTTAAAAGAAAGTAGTAATAGGAAAACTACAATACGTGTGACCTAGTTTCCAGTGGTTCATGCTGCTCAAAGAATCCAGATTGAGAGGCATGGTGTTCTGGGAAGGAGGTTGCCAGTTTTGCTTAGTCGACTTCGACTAAGCAACCCACAAACCACCTAATCTTGAAAATCCAGACAGGAACTACCCATGCTTCCCCTCTTCTAATCCTCAGCGTCAACACTGGATGCTATCTTCGCACTTGTAACGTGCATTCATGTTACTCTCTTTGATCTGTCATCTGCTTTGTTGAACTCTTCAATTGCACAGAAAATGCTTCTTTCTTGGGCTTACGATGTGATCTACATCTTCCGCGAGCTGGAAATAGGCTCTCGTACTTGCGATCCTATGGATCCAAGCCCTCGGTGACGATATTTAGTCCCCCAGATCAAAGGCATCAAGTAAGTAGTCTCCAGCATCTGCTTCCGCGATCAATCTGCGCTCTTCTCCCTCTGCAGTTGGTTTTATCCGGCGAGAGCAGGAGAGCCTTCGCGAGGTTTCCACGGCGATCAATTCCACTTGCAGAGCTCATCTATCCAGCAGATCTCCCGTAGCTCTATCATTGTCTCTTGCAGGGCGATATTGGACGCGCAGTACCGGAGGCAAACACAGCAACGTACCTGCGATCTTCACCTCCTTGCGAAGGCAAACCGGGATTCCCAAAGACACTTGGGTATAGCCCACACAAACGGGACGTTTTGCATACAGCAAAGAAGCAACAGTGATAGCGAATAGGGTCTTCCTTCCATGTACTCAAGGTAAGTATACGTGAGATTGCCCTAATCCTCCGGGTAAAGACGCTGACCTCTTTCCAGTACTCTGAGCAATCACTGACGACTATAACTGCATCAGAAAGAAGGTCCAAAGGACTCCTTCCTGTCTTCTCATGCAGCCATGGAGTCTCGAGGAATGGTTCTGCTGTCTTCTGGCTTGGTGAATCACTGAGTCCGAAAATGCTGAATGAGCTCGTCGGCTTCGCGAGTCATATAACATACTGGATGACTGGCATGGGACTCGGATGTCTTGGACATGCCCTATACCTCTGACAGGAAAGACATATCCTCTTTGTCGTGGCCTTTGGCAATCGTGATGCTGGGCAATCCAGTTGCGGAGAGGTCGAGTCAATGCTCAGCTGTAAGTTCCGTGCCATTCACGCCACATGCATATGCCTAATCGAGCTTGGTGGTCTCTAGCTTCAGTACTATGTTTACCCGAATATCATAGTTTGGCCCCTCGGGTTCTCGCTTATTCGCAAAATGCAGATCGTCCCTTTGCCGATACCCTGAAACCGGAAAAAAAAGACGATTTTGGCTCCGCAATATATCGAAGTTCGTTATACCAGGTTGCAAAAGCGGTGGGGAAGAACAACCAACATTTGTTGTGATACTCAGTAAGAAAATTTTCTCTCTGCTTCTCGCCATTGCTTCTTCACAGAATAACAAATATTTTACAGCCACCGCAAAACAAGCACCGTGCCCCAGGGATTATTGAAGGATAAATATGTACCTAAACAATCAATACTTGGAAGTAAGTACATATATTCCAAAGCCCTCCTCCACTTACCGATCTATTTCCTGATTTTCAGCTAACGTTTTATACCTCAGATTGTCCTCTACAAGCCTCCGAAGAGGCGGGCTGCACACCCGAGACGATGGCAAACGCCCAAGTTGCGAGGAAACATGGCTCCTTGCCTTGTTATTGACAATTCGGTGTTTCAATCTAACTCATGCTGATTCAAGTTCAGAATTGACATTGCTCTCGCGTCTAAGTGGCATGAGATCTGCTTATATGAGGATCTAGGTTATCCTGAAGGCTCTGTGATGCGTTAGCACATGCGAGCAATACCTAGAGAAGACGAGACCTTGCTCGCATCATAACACTAGTATGCTCCGTCGAGCCCACAAGGACAAACTCAAGGCTCGTGGAGAAAACAGATGGAACCCTTTTCCGTCAATTTTAAGATATGTCCTGCAGTAGGGCTCACAATTCTCGTGAGAACTCCCTCAGGATGTTTTGTGCATGCTCGGAGCTGGACTATCACTGACGCGTGACAGGACCCTTCACATATTTGGAGTTCATTCCATATCGTGTTCCAAGAAATCACAAATTTGTCTCAACTCATCGCTGCATACCACAAAATACACCAATCGCAATAGGTCAAGTCAAAAGAGCTATTTCACAGAAAAACTAGGTACCGATGTCTTTGAAGCGGTTCCAAATATTGTTGGTACGTAGTAATTGTCTGACATTTACCTGCCGTCTCCCCTCCACCCCCCTCTAGCCGCCGGTTGGTATTCGCTTATCTCGACACCTCATCAAAGCTACTTAGCACACTGAGACTTTGCCTTCATTCTTTATGTCATTTATATTTTCTCAACACAGTCACATATATAATCTCCCGGTTTTTTTATGCTTTGCAAGTACAAACGGTTTTGTCGTTGACACATTTGAAGGTAGCAACTTTTGTAACACCCTAATTTCCGCGGTGTCAGTAAGTATTCATCTGTATTAACTAATTCCGAAATAAGAAATAAGAAAGAAATATACTTACACCTGGACAGTTACAATTCTCAGGGACGCATAACGGAGCCGGATTTGGAGTGTTTTCCTCAAGGGAGATTGCCATCGTGATGGCTGTGAGGGAGAGGATAAGGAGGGTAAGATATTTCATTTTGTTTTCTGTTTCTGCTTTCCTCGTTTTGATTGCTTTTGTAGTGATTTAGATTGCGAGTTGTGCTTTAAAAGTCTTTGAATATGACTGATTGAATTCGATAAGTTTAGGGGCGAGATTGTGAGGATGATGCGAAGAAAGAGGGTTCTTATACTTGGGACTTGGTTGATATTTTAGGATCACTGGTATGACACCTCTTGCTCGTAAATACTTAAATATGATGGGGTGGCTAACAGGGGGTGCCCAGACGTCTGATGCTTTGAAGTGTTACAATTCCATGTGCTACCAAGAGTTTCGGGCCCTTTTCAAGGTTCTGGTTCTGCCGCAACCCTGCCAAGGTCACCAAGGCCCAGCGACCCAAGAAGGAATCCGTCGCTAAGAATGCTACTTCGGTCGACTGCCCCATCCAGAAAGCAACTCAGGAGCTACAAGAAGCGTGTGTGACCGTCGACTTTACGATTATGGCTCTCGCGTGTCGACATTGTACTATTAGAAATCAGCACCAATCGGGAAGGGAAAACAAAAGACTCCAGACTGTGGGGAGAAGCGCAAGCAAAAGGTAGAGGTTGAGGTCGGAAAAATGAAAGGATGTGTGGGCGTAGTTTGCAGTCTCAAATGAATCAATCTCCATCATATCGACCGTGTCGTAGAAGCTTTGTGAATAATCATACGTGCGTCCGCAATGACGTTAAACTACCCCCTCTCCAATCTCTTCATCCAGTGAGTTTATTTCCAACCAGGATCAAATCATAGCTAATTCACGAACCTCTCTAGGACCGCCTGAAGCTCATTCACACTCCTCTCCTTCTCAAACATCACAACTGGTCTTCTACAACGACTCTCGCGAAACTGGTCCCTACACTTGAAAGGGGAGCCAACCCCCTCAATCGCGCAACAACCACAATATCGGCACGACGATCACTATCCAAGTGCTCCATGCCTTGTAGTTGCATTGCAATGCCTTTGCATTGCGAGGGGCTGAGTACTTTGAGGCTATTATTGAACATCTTGATCAGGAACCTCAAATCTTGGGGTTCCTGATCAAGAGACCAATACTCACAGAACCTTTGGTCCCGCACTTGGTGAGCCTGTAGTCTTCGGCAACAACCACTATACTGGCCCCAACCGAGGCACCGGCTTCCGTCCCACCGTTAATTTTACGCCCTTTGCAGATGCTCGTCCTCCTGTTCACACTTTCGGAACCTTTGGTCCAATGGTTTCTGGAGCTACAAACTCACCAGATGGACTCATATAGCCGCCTGCAGGCATGGAACGACACCTCGCTTAGCAACATAGTCGTTCGACCTTCCAGTCAACGTTGCGAGGCTCCAGGTACTTTGATGCTTTCCATTGCGGCGCGGGATTCATCATCTTGATGAGTTCCTGGATCTCTGAGAAGCTAACTTCTCTCCGACATGACGATGACAGGGATAGCTGTTCAGCAAGTTGACACCAACACCGCTTCCTCAAGCTCGGCTAAGCCAATTTGTCCAACCTGGTTATGAGCTTTAAGCTCCTCTTCCGGCTCCTGCACAAGGTACTACTTCCTCGAGTGGTAGTGCTCCCTATGTCCTCCAACATGCCTCTGCCCGATCCACAAAGCTATACTGCGGGTCCTTCTCGTACGCAAGATTCTGCAATCAAAATTGGTAATCGGGCGCTCTTTCCTCAAACAGAACTCATCCTCACGACTGTACGGTCGATTCTGATCGACACTTCAGGTCCTATCATACCAAGACCAGCCAGAAAGATCCCGCGGCATATTGTTGTCCTCATTTGTATGGCACTTATGTTCCTCCAACGGATTGTCAATATCGCAGTTTCTTTACACGTTCTTAATGTTACAAATGGACTTTCCAACAACTGATTTTCGGCTGGGGTTCGACAACCAGATGTAAAAGACGAAAAATACGGGCCAACATCTGGACCGTTGTGGATGAAGAAGATAGGACGCGAATTGAGAGAGAATGGCCACCGAGCTGATGAAAACTCCGGTTCCTGATGCACTCCTCCCCCGGTGTTCCATGGACCTTGCTACTTCGTGGATCCAAATTTTCAGCAAACAATGATATTTTCTCGTTATCTCGGGGTTTTCGTGAAGAACTATTGCTCCGAACCGAAATCCTGGGGTTGGGACCGTTGAATATGGGCACTCCTGCACTCCTGTCTCTGCTGCCTGACCCCCTGTCTCGGTTGCCTAAGTAGATGCCTAGTACTCTAGAGCCTGCCGCTCGGTCAGGGTCGTCTTATAAAGACCTCTGCTCACCCCCTAGCGAGCTTCTTTCTCTATTCCAACTTATCCATTCCACATTGTGTGCCGACATCAAGAAGCTCAATACCCAGGGTTTTGGCGAGGATTTACTGTTGTGAGCCAAAACCCTGGGGCCGGGGCCTTTGAACATTGGTAGTGCTTTTTACCGAGATGTCAAGGAGAGCCTCGCACAGAGAGTTAGGTCTTACAAGCTTGTCAAATAAAGGAACTTCAGGAGCTAACTATTTATTAGGACTCAGTAACGCAGCTCGACAACGTGTTGACCGAGAAGTTAGGGCAAATAACCAGGACCCACGTTCTGGCCCATACGGTGGTCAACCCTATATGAACTATAGTTCACCACCCCCTGACCCACCATGCGCAGGCAGGTGTCCCGTTATCAGCTGTGGTACGAGGAAACGAATACATCTCGGAGGTTTAACTGGAACAGAAAGTATTGGGTTGAAAGGGTATTGGGTACTGAAGGTCATGGAGAATTGATTGCATTGTAAAAGGTAGCTATCTAAGGTGTTTATATAAAGAGTGTAAGGTTTAGGCAGACATGAAGCATTTAGGCAGCAGAACTATAAGTGGATCAAATAAGGAAGTGGAGCAAAAGAGAAAGTAGACCCAGCACAACAGAAAGTTATGGGATTGGCTGCGTGTTTGAAGAGTTCTTGTACTTGTAGAAATGGGATCAAACTGTGAGAATTACGTTGCTGAAAGCTGGATTCGCTGTGATTTCGTTGATGTTATTATACTCGTGAACGACAGAGAAGCATGATTTACTCCCTTCTTTAGCAAGGGCAATATTGTAGTGTAAAATGCCTCCTGTAAAGTCCACTGGATGTCCATGGCCCATCCTGGAATCGCGAAATTTGTCTGTATAGGCTTTCCAAAGAGATTTCCAAAAAGACTCAGGATGAACAAATGTCTCATTCGTCGATTTTTCCGATGTTTGAAGGAATGATAGTCCCTGGAGCGGGAGTTCCCTAGAAGTGTTTCTCGACCAGATGGCATTAAAGGCCTGGGAACCCAAAGGTTTGGCCACTAAATGAGAACGTGAACAGTAGATGACAAGATCGATCGGGCAATCTCGGAGGGCCTGAATGGCAATTGAAGCAATAAAGGTTAACTGGTGCCTGCCTGGTATTGAAGTGATGGCACTGTAGGCGGCTGAGTAATGGCCCTCCAGCGAAAACCTGTAAGGAAACCTCGTCTGCTGGAAAACCTCGAGACACTTCAACACCAAGAACCACACCCTAGTGTACACAACTCACAACCTTCATCATCTCCTGGAGTTCTCTACTCCCTGGATCTTCTACAAAGTAACTGCTCTTCGATCCATTATCCACTGTAAGTCTCAAGTGTTTCCCTCGTCGCACTGCGTCTTTTCTGCCAGCTTTTTCGAGAGCAGTCGCAAACAAGAGCGCATCAGAGCTTCTGGTGGGGTGGCAGGGTCTTTCTTGTACTCCCCCATCGGTAACTACCGTTCCAAAGCTCATAATATTGATCTCGCTCGTTCCTTCTATGGACGCAAAGCTCAATAGGGGTGGTGGGGGTTCTCGCTGACAAGAGCATTTCCAGATGCCGACGACACTTTACCAGCAACCATTAGACACCCACCTGTTCGATCACTTACGCTACATGAAGATTGGTCGGACTGAGGAGGAACATCGGCTGGATGTAGCACGAATTCGCATGTGGTTAGCCGACACAAGAAGGATCGTCGGTTTGTTTCCCTCCTTCCTGCAACCCTGGATCAAGCCCATCGCAGGTTTTTATGCCATGTACATGATTGTGGCAGCCGAGAGGAAAGAGAAAGAGAGACTTGAATCCGAGAGGCTGGTATGAGTAGCTCCCCTCTGGATTGAGAACGTGTAAATGGGTAGGAACTATCTCTTTCCTGCTCTCCCCGGTTGAGCCTGACAAGATACCAATCAGTTACAACCTTCACCGTCTCAGTCAGCGCATTTTGGCGTATGTTCGACCAGGCAAGAGCTGATGGCGCCCCTTTCAATCCACTGGTATGCTTCAACAATACCGCAGATCATGTTCGGGCAATTCATGGCAGGCTCGAACAAAGTTTGGGTTTTTAGATCATGATCCAGCCTTTTTGAAGAGTGTACCCAAGGTCGCTCCTGTCATTGTCGTATTTGTACTCTCTGTCTCCCTTCAAATCTATTGCTTCCCTTCTCCCCACAACTCCCTCTCTTTGTGTCATCTACAATACTCCTTTTCGGCTTCTCTTGGAGCGAAACCAACACGATGGCACTCTCGTCATCTTGCTGCAACCAGCATTCCGAGTCCCTAACACATTGAGGAGCGATGTTGAGAAGATTGGTGGCAGATCAAGTCAATGTCACCGTCCGTGGTTCTGTTTCAGTCAAACATGGACGCATCCATGGGAGCGGTCGAAGAAGGTAAGTGGTTCCAACGTGCAGACACGTTTTGGTAAAGGGAAAGGCTGACATGTATCCATAGGAGCTCATGCCTTTGGAACTGACATCCATATTACTAAGGATGGAGTTTGTGGTGATACTTTGGTCAAGTCAAGAAACCGGTTGGCCTGAAACTTTGGTAAGCTCCCCAGCTCGCAGACTTTACTCTTAACTTCACAAACTAATAATGTATTCAGTCGCCCTCCGTTCCCTCCCTATACTCCTATCACCACCTTAGCCACCGACCGTGGTCGAGAAGCGACAAGGCTTCATGGGTTTGAGAGAGCCCACCGTCCATTACACACCGGTGAGGCTGGTGAGCGTCCTGACTGAGACTCTCTTCTCACCTCTGTCCATACATTCGGTAATGAAGTTGAGGATATCAGGATTGGCGAGGAGATGGAAGCAATAGATAGGGATAATCGATTTTTGGTTCCAAGAGAGGTTGTCTTGTCGGTGTGTGGAGAGAGAATTTCGTGGTGTAAGTATAGCAGAGCGGATCAAATAATCCCCATTCTTCAACTCATGGCTAAAGATTTATGTGACTTTTGACATGTGTGTCCGCAATGACATTAAACTATAACCATCTCGCAGATCAGCGAATACATCGTCATCAATACCAGGCCAGATATATCTTGGCTTGCTGGGCTGGGGTCTGAAGGTAAGAAACTCTTTCCTCTCCCATAAACTTGTGTGAATACTTACAGGTACAACCCGAACAGAACTCCAGCCCAGCTAAGTCTTGAACGTGTTCATGAACAGAATCGCCTAGATATCTCTGGGCTGGGGATCTCCAGTAAGAATCTTCTTCCCCCTGGATGAAGTTTTGTATATGCTGACAGTTGTGATTCGAAAGGAGCTCCAGCTCAGCTAAGCCTTGAACGTGTTCATGAGCAGAATCGCCTGAACACTTCAAACAAAGATTACTTAGCTGAGCTAATCCCCGGCCCGGAGAATCTCATCCTCACAGCAGCTATTACAACTGTCTCGACGACCCCTTGACGAGGAAAATGTACAGCGGACCACCATCTCAGCGCCGCCTGACGGCTCAGTCTCGGTTGCAACTTCTGACGGTGCAATGTCAACCGAAACCTCTTCAACGAACGATCTGCTATACCTGAAGGTTTCTTGGTGAAGTTTTGGTCAACTTTTGGTGGCTTTTGGCGAATTTTGGTGGAGTTTTGGAGTTTTGGGGTTTTGGTGAATTTGGTTCTGATAGAGGGGGTGAAGAGACGTAAGTTGCCCATTTCCCTCCAACGCTTGACAAATAACTAATTCGAAGAAGCAATACGAGGAAACAAGGCAATAATATCCCAGAGCACTATGCGTAGAGTTCCAAAGCCAGCAACAGTGACCGTGAGGTCCTTGGGGAGAAGAGACAGTAGGAAAAAGATCATCCGACCCATAAGAACAAAGCTGACATACCGTAGTGAGCTTTGCAGGTCAGTGTAGAAAATGCCAGCCAATGCTGAGTTCACCTTCGAAACAAGCTTTGCGTACGTTGAAGCTCTCACTTGAGGTTCCTTGTTTCTGATGCCTTTCAGTAGAAGTATCTCTCCTCCTCAGCTTCGCCATTGTCGAGTGGAAGTCCATCAAGGGGAAGATGATGGAGATGACCGCACATGGTGTTCGTGGGTTGAAATAATTGGGAGGGAATCGCAGATGCAAATATCGGATGTGGTGGAATTCCTTTCTAAGCGCAAGCCTTTCTGTGTGCATTATCTTATGAAACTACTTGCCTCATCCAAATGAAACTCTCGAAATTGATTTTTGGTGACTGACGATGTGTACGTTCACGATGACAACAACCCATGGTCGTACCCGTTGTTCTTGATCATCTTCCCAACGGACTTCTCAGATTAACCAAACTCTTCTCTTCCTCTCCCTCCCCATTCAATCACTCACAACTTCACACCTACTAACAAACCACAAACCTCATCACCCCTGAAGTCCCCCCTTTACAACCCCAAATAACACACTCCACTCCCGTCATTCAGCCCTAACCAGCTTGCATGGCACAGTGGCAAACGGGCTGATGACAGGCATAATATGTGACTTGCCCTGGCCAAGATAGAGAGAGGGGGGAGTTAAGTAAGAGAGGGGTCAAGTAGAAGAGAGGCTACGTAAGCGAGGGGTTAAATAATGGTGTCTGGGTTTTGTTTGGTTGGGTATTTACTTTTTGGAGGCGAGGTGGTGAGGTGAGGGTGGGTAAGGCGGGGTAGTGGTGTGTGAGGTGAAGTGTGGAGGGGAGAGAGGTGGTTTGGTGGTGGTTCTCTTGTTGAAAACGTGATTTGCCTTCGTGGTATTATCTAAATGAAATTGTCTCCGCATGTTGTTGCGCAGAAATGCTATCTGCTCTCTAACTCGCAAATAGAGGGAATAGGGAAGAAGCTTCTCAGGCCAGTATAGATCTGCTTCCTTTACGCGAGCTAGTTTGACAAAATCTTCTACTCAGCTTCGAAGTCATTCACACTTTAGCGCTGATGATAGCTGATACGTCTTACCCGATGATCATCAGTTCGTTGAGGGGTTCACATAAGGAGGCAGCTCTTTGTTGTCCACCTGTTGAAATAATTGTAACTTGCCAGGCTGGAGGAGAAGCAAAGGCAGGGAATCCAATTTTCCAGTGCAGGGTCTGTAAAGGGGGTCTGTGGACACTACCTCAATCTTGGAAGACCAGGGAAGATAGCTATGAAGATAGAAATGGTGGGGAAACTAGAGAATCAGTTGCTATATACACAGCTAAGGTCCTCATAATTTGAATCGTTATTTTCACGCGCCTTGTATTGACTTGTCACGCTTGTTTACTTTTGTTGCTTTAGTCGTAGGCTACTTTGGATTCTGATAGTGTTCTGGTATTGGAAGGATTGGTTGAATTAAATATTCTTATGGATTCTTTGGGTGGCCATTGATGATATTATCCGGAGTTGGGTTGCTGAGTTGTTTGGTGAGAGATTTGTGTTGGTGAATGCAGATGAGAGATAGTTGGTCTTCTTGCAAGGTGTACTAGACTTACCCGTGAGAAAGATTCCCAAATTGAAGAGTGCTAGCGGATTGTTGCTAAGTTCAAAGACTCCCGGATTCTGGATTCTGGCAGGCTATCAGTTCACTTCGACTTTCCGCGTGGTTTCTGCGTCGTAGAAATTTCTCCGGGTTTCGGAACAGGTATCCCATTCAAGTGTTAGTCAGTGGTGGTGTTCCCACTTCTTTCGATTATAGATGAGGGCCGGTTGTAAATGCAAAAAGTTGGCCAACGAATGTAGAGATACATGCCCTTGAAATCAGCCAGTATGATGGAAGATGAGAAGCTTACATTTTTCTGCGGGTTGTTTGTGCGGTGTGAAAGACTCAGGATTAAACATATCAATTATCGGCTCGGTTCTTCTATGATCTCTATCCTTAACGCTGAACTCGCGCTGTTGCTGAATTGTTTGGATTGGAAAGGGAGATGTGAAGTCGAGAGACCGAGACTATAGTTTCAACCTCGTTTCCCCTCTCTCGTTAAAGGTGGGGCTGGGGGGTCTGCAGCTGGGGCTCGAAATATATTAACTTAGCAGTGGTAAACCCAGGGCTTGAATTTGGCCGACTATAGCACCACCGTTACATTCAAGAGCGAATATGACATATGATTATGCACTTTAAACAGAGCAGAGCGAAGCCATTGTATAGGGTGTTGAACAACGATGAGACTGTGGGATTTGCAACTTACCAGTGGTCTGTGATCAAAATACCAGATGGTTGGTACAATTTCAGTGAGTTGGTACTATGATGGTGTGCTGGAGAGAGATGCCAGCCTTTGGAGCAAAGAAAGTTTTGTATTACGTATGTGCATGCCCGGTGGATATCGAAAATTAAGCGAGAAGCATTTCACTTGGTGTCCACTGATTTCTTATGTTATGTTTGATATCTGTTTTGAGAGCAGAGAAGAGAGGGATTTTTGTAAAAGGTGATAACGGCGGGAGTGTGTTGTTCGTTGTTTTGTTTCCTGTTTAGTAAAGGTGGGCAGGATGACAGGTAGCTGAAGTAGGGGACGATAGAAGAAAGGGTGGTGCCTGGTGGTTTGATGAAAATGTCAGAGAGAAAGCTGATTTGCATCCAGTTGGTATCTACTGGGCAATACCCGCTTTTGGGATGTCTACTTTGTAGAGTAAGCACGACAAGAAACATATCACCGCAACGTGGTGTCCATAGGTTACTGGGAATCCAGAACAAGAGTTTCCTCTGCAGCTTTTATCCTCTGGTCACCACTTCTTTTTGTGGTATTTACAGTTGGGAACATAAAAAGTCGAATTTCATGTAATTTCACTTCTGCTTCTCTGTATATACTTGGAAGTGGGATGATGGAAGTAGCTTTTGGAGTGAGGTTTTGTCGTGGCTCACGCTAGGGGGTGCTAGGATTTCATCTGAATGAATGGATACTGACCTCTGGCTGTTGCTATCGTTAGAAATGGGGCTTTTGTTGTTTATAATTCATTTGGTTTTCGTAACTGAATTTGATTGTCTGTTTGTGGGAAGTTAATAGTATACCTGATTATTTCTTGGCTAAGAAATTTATCAATAGGATAGAATAAGTCGAGAATTCTATGAAAGAGACTGGGCCATTTAGTGGTAGGAGTATAATCATCTTGTACACGGTTCTTCTGTTCTTTGCAGAGGATCTTGCAGCTAGACAACCAGGTGTATTCTTTACTTTACCTTTACGTTCAGTAACACATTTTTAAAAGGCCAATAGCCATCAGTGTATTATGCGAGTTGGTATGAAGCTACTCGCCCGGACTCAATGTGTAGTGAAGGATATCTGTCCCTCCAGAATAGGATACTTACGTCAGTCCACATGGACGGCAGCAGGTTTTCAAAGGAGTCAAAGGTGAATGCGAAGTATTAGGATGAGGAGTAATACGTAAGGAGGAAAAATACAAGGAGTGAAAAGGCTATTGAGCACTAGAAGAAACTAGTCACATATGAAACCATTCAACTACTGGCAGGCAGAAATCGCACATGGAAGATAATTCGTATTGTAATAAACTCAGAAAACTCTCAAAGTCAGCCTTTTCTCAGAAAAACCAGCTGAAAAAGACTACTGATAAGTCCTTGGTGTATCTGAACGCGAATAACTCCTTATATCATATTAGTCCATAGAGATATGGCACCATTTGATCTGATTCGAAGACTTGATTCACCTTCCAATTCATCTGATCTGTTCATGAATGGCTTCTAGAAGTCCTGGATCCAATAACACTCACGAGAACAAATCGGTTCACTCCCTCCTCTTCCCCATTCACCTTCTACATCACTGTATCTATTCCTGAATGACAGAGAGAAGTACTCGGCCCAATAGAATGGAAGAAAATAAATCCGACCACTCGCTTCTTTTTCCATCTTTTAAATTCACCTTCAAAAATGTTCACACTGAGCAGTCATCTGCGTGGCTATGCAAACTCTCTTAAAATCCTGCTCTCTCGTAGTTGCCATCCATCTTCTACTTTGAATGCATATTCTTAATTCTTAATCACATAGTTACCTCTTAGCCAAGTTACGAGATCGGCATTGCAATAGCAAAGCCTTTAGACAACATCAACAAGTCTTCCCATCTACAAGATGCTATTCGATATCTCCAAACTATTCTTAACATTCCTGAGCCTCATTGGCCTGATTACTATTGTTAGTGCCACGAACACTGCGAAGCTTAACCTTTAAACTACTGAAATTTTGACAAAGAACTCTAGGTCTCTTCTCATCCAAACTCACATCCAATCACCCTGAACATCACAGAAATCATTGAGAGACGTGAGTTGAATCCCAGAAACAAGGCATGAATCACCACAATCCGAGGCGGTATACCAGTCATATCCTAACATAGCTTCCAGGGCGTCATGCACTGCTGCTGGCAAATCGGTCAAGGCTGGGACGTAGGCGGCGCCGATAACGTAGCCATAGCAGCCAACAACTTAAAGGCACTTGGAGGGAAAGTCGGTGTCTACGGCTACAAATGTGAGCAAATCTCCTGCCATGACGATACAGAAATTGTTCTTTGCAACGATGTAAGATACCTTGTCTCATCTCATCTACTAGGTTGCTAACGGGTCGATGAAGAACGCCTATTATATCAACCCCGATGCCCCATACCTCGCGTCTTACGCGGAGGATATCTTGAGGGACTGCTATTTGTATCAGTGGTTTGGCGATCATAGAGAGTGGTTCAGTTGTGGTCAGTATTTTGATACGGATCATTATAATGTTATTGTTAGACGGCCGCAGAATCAATATGGTAGGTGCTTGTAGGCATATCTACCTTCTGGGTACACATATTCGATATCCAGAGGAGCAAAGGGGTTCATTCGCCACGTCTATGGGAGAACAGGACTTTATCGGTTATTCTTACTCGGAATTTCGGAAAAAGTTGTCCTGTAGTAATGGAGTTGTATTTCATTCACATGCCTTACCCCACGATTGGGCTGGCAGCTTTTGGGTTCATCGGATGGAATTAATTAGATAGCTAATGCTCAAAACGCAAGGAATATTAGCCACATTCAGATGAAGCAAGAATATGAAATTAATAAATTGAAGGATTGCGATTTTCGAAGTTATGTTGAGTAGAGAGAGCACGACAGGAACTTGAAAGTCCTCATGTGTGAGTCTTTTTTTATGAGAACGAGTCTCGTAAGCGCACTTAATTGCTCCCCCCACTACCCCCCAAAAAACACCTTCCTCGAGGAAGGCTTATTTGAGTATGTACAGATTAGTCTTGAAAAAGTGACTCGTGACTAGTGCACGTCTTTGATTTGATAGCGTACCCAGTGTACTCACTTTCTCCCCATGGTCAATCCTTTCGCTGACGAACTCATTTAAGCGAGCGGTAGAATCACCAAGACTTTTTCATATTGACAAGGTTGTAACATTCGCTCAAGGATCATCTACATTCCAATCCGAGATAAGTCTAAACACTTCCTAGATGCCTCGCTACGATGAGCCTTGTAACCCGTCTCATTTGTAGACAACATCGCTTATGGACTTCTCATTTATTTGGCGGAAAGGTGATGCAAAATTTCCTAAGCACAAGAAATAAGCACAAGAAATAATTTCAAAAAGCTCGGCGTCGCAAAAATGCATGAAATAAATCATTAGTAATTTAACATCAGAATAAGGTTTATGAATCTACTGAAAACAGGGGTAAATATGAAAGGGGATGGATGTTTGAGGGGCAATCCAATAAGATCTAATCTAATCTTGTTTTCGGGATCGAAAAACAATTCACTATTGTTTTGATACCCACTCATGTATCTTGAACCTATCAATTTGGAACGATCCATCCACGAACCGAGCCGCTCCCCGCTACTGTAAGCTGGAGTAGCACCCCCCTTCCTCGCACGCTCATCGCGCCCGTCGCGCTTAAACATCTCACATATACTTGTTTACTTGCTTCAAAAATCTGCTTACCGAGTAACCCTCGAAACATTCTCATAGAACTACATCTTCCCCTCCTTTCGAAGTTTCATTCTTGAGACGAACTCGCTACCCGTCCGACCCCGATGATTGGAGGATGCAACAATATACCAAAGACTTGTTTCGACGAGCTTGCCTTAATATCTTACGCTTGGCTGTTGGTTGCACAGCACGTCAAAAGCTCTCTGACTCTGAGGAAACACAAGCATTCGGCACCTGATCGCATGAACCACCCACCAGCTACCCCGCAATCTAATCGCTAACAACGCGTACTGGAAGGGGTTCTATTGGTCGGTTCTCACTTCCCTACACCGACCGGAAGTGCCAGCCAGTCATGGTGACCTGAATTCGAACTTTCTTTTCGCTGTCCTGCCTTTTTTGTTACTTCGTACATTTTCAGTTTTTCGTATTTTCCACTTCGAATTATCTCTATTATATTGCATCGCAACACTGGTGCAGACAGGCGGAATTACCGAAATCTTGTTCGAGTCCATAGCTGACTCTGATGCAAAGGTACGTTACTCTCTACCTTACAAACACTCCCCCATCCTCACGAAATTCAAATAAAATGCAAGGTCAGCGTCAGCCTTGTCCACACCCAACCAAGCCGTGTAACTCACAACTCGTGGGCCACCCCCAGAAGCGGTGGGATTAAACACACCGCCAACCTGCAAGCTGCAGTCGGGGGTCGAACCTACTGATCGGAGTCAGGCGCAACCAGACTCACCGAGTCTCCCACTTCGGAAGCAGAATCGGAGGCCTTCATACCCTCCAACCACTTTAATTTATTTTTCTCCCAGTCGGGATTAAACGAGAAACGGTGGGGTGAACGGGACTTCGCGTTCAAGCTGACGCCTAAGAGAAGCATCGTTCGCCAATTGATCATCCTAAAACGGTAATTTGCGACGTTGGGTTCAGGAACGTGGCTGGTCAGCCTGTGCCTGACCTGTGTTATGTCAGGAAGTGCTTATCATTATTGGAGATGTCAAAGTTTACGTAAGGTTTTTTGCAAAGCCTCAATCCCCTTGGGTCCTGATGTTTCGTTTCGTATCGATGTCTTCCTCTTTCCAAAGAATTTTTGTTTCCGAAATGGTCTTATTTTTAGTTAGGCGAGGGAGGTGACTTCGCGATGTTTGATTCCCCCCCTTTTGTTTCGTTTCGTCGATCAGAATAAGTCTAATCTCAATGCCTCATGCCATTTCCATATCCACATCGCACATACTTCGTAAATTGACCACCGATACCGTAATCCCAATTTCACAAAATGCGAATTTGGTAAATCGCTCTCCCCGGTTAACTTGCCACAGCAGTCCACACCCCGCAAAGTTTCGATCACCCCGGAAATGCTAAATAGAGCGGCCGCACTGTACACCGAATGGCCAACCTCCAAACGTGCCAATGTCAATCCCCAGATTTGATTCACGTTTCAACAGCAAATCAATCAATCACAAAAACATAATGCCAGGAAGGACATTCATTCAAGAAACATGCGACGAACGAAACGCCCCAAGATCCCGCTGACACATCACAAATAGAGTGATGCGTGTTTCCTCCCACTACCTCCCGTTGGCGAATGTTTCCAGTTGATCGTCAAAATACCGGACGGGCATCTACGAAGTCCATGCGTTCTGGTGATATGTTTCTGGCCTCCCCCTCCACTTACCCCGATGTGATATGACTATAGCCGATCGAATATATATGCCGAACGTCCATAATCCGGTCGCGAGTTCGCCCAATCTTCCATCTCACTCCGTCTCCTTCGACTCCTTCCCCTGATTCCAGTCAGGGACACCAGGTTAACAGAGGCTCTCAAGAAGAGCTCGGAAAGCATCGCCTGCGCAGCGTCCACAAGAGGAAACCCTAACAAGGCATCCCTTCCGCAATGGGAAGAGATGACAACATGCCATGAAAAAAGCAGAGATTCAGTGTCTTGACCATCGAAATCGATCGCATAGATGGAAACATGTCATCGTTCGCCATCCGTTTCTTTGTACCAAACCAATCTTCTTGATTCCTGCACGCAATGCTCAGTGATACTGTTGTGAACTGGCTCAGTTAAGCATTCCCACCATCATCCACATCGTAAATCGTAACCCAAAATCCAAACCCTACTGTACCAATTCTCATGCCTCGTACTCGGGACCACTCTTGGTCCCGAGCCCTGCCCTCTCGCACAAACACAGAAAGAATAAAAATCCACACGCACACACGCACACACACACAAACACGAAATTTACCTACGTACGCCTCCCACGTGGCCCTCATCTCTACTCCACCATCTGTATGTGTGTGTTGCACCCCGGGCAGGGATACAGAAGCGGTGAATGCAAAGCACCGTTGTCCGACGCCGGAAGTGACCCCACCCACTCCACTCCACTCCACGATCTCAGATTCCATTATGGAAAAAGACGTTGCTTTTTTTTCCTCCTGCCCTGCCCCTGCGACCCGGTGTGGTGGTGCGGTGTTGGGCGGCAATGACTCACGGATCCATCATAGTAGATGCATTATTACTGATTACTTGTACGATAACAGAAAGAAAAAACAGAAATGGGAAAAAAGAAAAAGCAAAGAGAAAATTAAAGAGTGGAGGATGTGGATCACAATGCAGGAAATGGATGACGATGTCTTTTTGATATTTGGGTTTGACATTTCTTGTATGTACTAACTACTGTACTGTGAAGTATTCGCTTCTGTACTCGACTATGTATTATGCTCAACCGTCGCTAAACACGAGGGAGCGAAAGAAATATCCCAATGAATGCACTGATAGAAACAAGTTCTCCCTTTAACTCCTCCCAAAAAATCCCATGAGTGGTGTGAACTGTTTCTCCCTTTGAAATCTGCCCTGAAATCCCGCAGCCAGAAACAAAAAAAAGAAAAGTGGTATTTTGTGAACGCCTCCCCCCATTCCCAGAAATGCCAATGAATCTCGCTCGCTCGTAAGAAAAGGAAAATCGCTAAGCCCGTAAAATCGTTTCATGCGTGAGTGGGAAGTGCTAGTAGACACTTATTGAGTTCACGAGACTCGGCGTCCGTTGAGGAAGGTAGAAACCATCATCGAAGAATGCTTGTTGTTCGGATGGTGGTATTGATACGGCTGGTGCTGCGGGCTTCGAGTAGAAAGATGTGGTAGCGATTTGTTGGCGTTGTTTTTCTGAGAATGTAGGGAGAGAATCGGATGGTGGTGATGGAGGCATTGCCTCGTCTTCTGAAGAATCAGAGTCGTGGTCGAGTTCTGGAGGAGAGGCGGAGTGGGATGGTGATAGTGTGAGTTGGAGTGCGGCATAGTCTTCTTCTCCGTCGTCCTCGAATTCCTCATCATCGTCCTCCTCGACTTCGGTGATTTGGTGGGATGTTACTCGTTGTAGTGCTGCCATGTGTGCCTCCATTTCGATTTCCTCCTCAGAATCGTACTCATCGTCTGAGCTGTCGGCGTCCTCTGCTTGCCAATCCTCCTCTGGCTCTTCAACAACAGAGTCTGCCCATTGGATATGTCGTGGCTCCTCGGAGGTCTTGGCTGCCTTCTTGACGGATTGGTTGAACCAGCTCTCTTGCTCTTGTTCTGCCTCTGCGAGCTCAAGCATCAAGGAATCGAGGAGGTTGGCGTGGCCAACGAGAAGTCTCAAGTCGTGGTCGGATCGTGCAGCCTCAGATGAGAGCTTGCCTCGTGCAGTGTGGGCGAGGTAGTATGTTTGGGTGACGGACATTGCTTTTCTCTTCAATGGCGAGACGGATGGGGAATGAGGGTTGTAGGGAAGGTGTGATCGGGCAGTGGAAGACATCTTGTCTTTTTGTTATGAAGTTATTACTCAGTCTAAGAACGACTCAAGGCAACAATTTCTAAACGAGGCCGATAATCGGTGATGTTGTGATAGCCAGCGGCAGAGTTTAATGAGTAGATGCAGATGCTGATATCAGTGTGGAAGTTCGTTGTTGGTAGTTATTGTTTGCTTTGGTGATGTGGTAAGAGTACTTGGATTGTTCGTACGAGTAGCTTGATTGTTGTGAATGGTGATGTGGATTGTCTGAAAAAACTCTGGTCAGGAGAAGGATGCCGTTCTTGTATATGTATACTCGCTCATTTGGGGTCTCATATGCTTCCGGCACCGACAGGGCTGATTCATAAGACCGACAGCTCCGTATCCCCTTTGTTCGTAAGGCCGCAGTGCAACCCCTGCGGAGAGTCATGATGCGTGATCCACGGTCCAGCACCAGCATGGCAGCACTGGCACCCTCCCCTTGCTTGGCCCTCGCTCGCTTTCTCAGCAGCAATGCGGATGCGGTGTACGAGATCAAACCGTTGGGCGGTCGGGTTTGATCCTCGGAGACAATTTCTCTCCGATGAGTCGCTCGCAGCGTGTAGCCGAGTAGGGTTTGGGGGTTAGGCGACCCTCGCTGAGGGGGTGACTAACCAACCCAAAAGTCCGGTCGCTATGTCCACCAGAAAACGCCCATCAACTCAAATCATGATCAGCCATCCACGGTAATATCCATCGTCCGTAGGCAATCCTTATTTGGACTGCTACTGCTTAATTCCTTCCGCCGAACGCGCAGCGCCTCACATTGCAGCATCTGCGGATGCCTTCATGACAATCCCACTTCATAGCCTACCTATACCGACTAACTAACTAGCCAGCGCTGGTGGTCTACCCACCTGCGTTGCTCCCTCGTTTTTGGCACAAACTAGTACTGTAGGGTAAGTTGTACACCGTATCCGTACCGCAGAGATCGACGATATGCGGTGTGGCTTTCGGATTACTCTTCAAAGAACCCCTCGGGGTTTGATGACAAACTCCCGGCCGCTCGAGCAAATAAACATTCATGATTGCACGCGGCATCGCTATTGTGACAAAGCAATCGATATGATACCTTTGATTATTCAAACACCGTCTCATGCACGGCTTGAATGATCATGGACATCGTGGGTGTATACAAGCCCAATGCGAACCAATCTTCGCTTTGAAGGTGCAATATGAACTACTACTCTGTAATTTCAATTTCAAAGTAAGATGCCCCTTGGGCGCGATCAGCGCACTCGTAAAGAAATGATATCGGAGCAATTCACAGCCTCCACGGGTCCACGACTAGTCACTCGCTACGCCGTGTAGTCTACCCTCGAATCTTTCCTCTTTAGGGCATTTTTCACGCTGAGGGGTACGAGTACAGTACCAAGGCCACGTTCAATAGTGACGAATGGATTTGAGCACCGCGAAATTCAAAAAAATGAAAAATAAATTGGCAGCCTGGTTTTCACGCAAACTTTCAGCACGCCCCATTTCCCCACCAAGCTTTCAACGGTAGTTGCGGTACTCTCACAGTACCTGAATATCGCAAAGAGTTGCGATGCGCCAGCAAAGCGGCCACTTACCGACCCCGTCATCCGCAGTCGTGAAGATTTGCTTGGTCCATTTTCGAGCTCGCCGAGGTTTGATGTTTGGTGCGTTGTACGGCCAGATTTCGCACGTAAGCTGTCTGGTAACGTATCTGTGCTTGCGCATCAAATACACCCACACGTCAGGCAGCCAGATAATTGTTTTCTCGAGGACGACTCCGCCTCTTGAGAACAACTCCGCAGGTGCAGAAAAGCGGGATGCACGTTTAATTGCCTTGACAACCATTTCAAAGAGGCTATGAGAGGCTATAAGCGCTTGTACAGTACTAAGTGACTCTTACGGTCTGTTTCAAACGTTTCCTCTGAGCAATATGAAATTCCGTATAGGCAATTCGTCAATATCGAGGAATTCTGGTGGTTTAATGAATGAATCATCAGACTCACACCAGTTACTACTGCAGTATGCATAGCAGATCCGGGAGAAAATCTCCCATTCCCATCTCCGCATATTTCTTCAACGAAAAAAAATAGAGTTTTTGTTCGTGACAGTCTTTGTGGAGTCGATTTTGCGCCCTATCCTCAGACCTTGGTTCGAAGTAGCGATCGAGCAGTGATCAATCATAATAACAAGAATCAGGGACTGTCACGACACGGACAAGTCGTTTGTGCCGAATTGATCCCCTCAACCCTGATTCTTCCCCATGTATTATTGCCTTGTTAACAACCGGAAGAGCTTCTGGTGATGAATTCTCATCCGCTTCTTCCACGTGCCGAGGCAGATCTATTGATCTTGACGACTGACTTCCCGCGCGCACTTGAGGGGGTTCATGTCACAAGTCAACATCGCCTCCGCGTGTCCGGCACGACTGAAGCACAGCAAAAACTCCCGATGAACTATTTTCACTTGATGACCACGGCAGTCACGGCAAGAGAAACTTCTCAGACTTTTTCTTTCTCATTCCGAAAGATATGCTTGCATTCAAGCAATTATACAATAGGAAGGAAACGGATATACAGTGCCCGGATCCAAATGGACCGAAACCAGAGAGCAGAGCCTCGTAGGGCTAAACTCCAGCATTCTCGAAAAACCCAAATGAAGAATCCAAAATTGCATCCCTCGCACTCGCATGGGTGAACTGTCCCCACAATTCAGACTTCGGCGAAGCTCGGTCTCTCGAGATCGGGTTTCGCACACTCGTAAAAAGCTTCGAAGCTGCGGGACACACACACGGGTTCACGGCATCTCTGGTAGCGGCCGTAAAGGGCCGTTGGTGATTGGAGGGAACGCGAGCGTGAGCAATCGGCGTGGAGAATGCATGATGACTTGATGCCGCGTGTAGAATTTGTGGAGGGGAGTTAAGGGCGCAAGGAGGCTGGAGTTAAGAGGCGCGATGTCATTGGCTCGCTTAACGCAGCAATCTTATATCCGATGTGGAATGGTAGCGTGCTGACTGAGCGATTGTTTCTATCAAATACTAGCATCTCCCCTCTTCTTTATTTCCAATTGTTGCGACTGGCTTCTGCATTGGGACTTCTATATCCGGAGATTGCTAATCGGGTTTCCGCGTGTGCGGTTTTTTGAATATAGATATGATTATCAGATTCTTTTTACTTCTTTGGGACTTGATTCCTCACGTCATCTAATCATAGATTTGTACTGTAATTACTGACTAACCATCTGATTATTCGTGCTCGTCACCATGAAACGGAACAACAGAGCATCGCAATTTATTCCTCTCATTTCACTGTCGTGGACTCATCTCGAGTTGTAAGCCCCAAGATGGACATGATTGGCAACCTCGTAGTAAAAACAAATACGTTTCACGTCAATTCCAACCCCCCAACTCCACAATTCCTCATCGGAATATCGGGATGTAAATCACCACCGTCAACGGAAAAATCTAATTGGCTTATCCATTTCATTATATCGAGTAAGCATCACGAGCCCCCACACAAGTCATCCGAACCCGAGTTAAGATGTGGTCAGGGCAGCAAGGAACCGTTCAACGGAGTCAGACCCTTTCGCTTCACTCCCCTTGCGGTCAGCACAAACCACATGGGAAATTTCCCGATCTTACGGAGACGAGGAGAGTGATTGGTTGTCAGGTACTGTGGTACGTGCTGCCTTTCGCTACCAGGTAGAGGGTTGACACGTGGAATACGAAGGGGTGGTGAGATTCGGGGGTTCTTTCCCCTGGGGGAGTATTTTTGGAAGGATTTGGAATGGGACTCGAGCTGATTACCTTTTTGGGGGTAAAGAGCACGAGGCCAAGGTTGTTTGTATGGACTGGACCTTATAAGTTCTTGATTGGGAAAAGGATTCGAAGTAAAGCTGTACAATTTGACCACCGGAAGGAAATGAGGTTGAATCTCATCATAGGCATAGATATGCTTATCTGACTCGATGACTGATCACTCTCAGTCGGTACGTACTGCGCACCAATCATGGAAGCAAATGGAAGGTTTATACGCAAAGTATTTGAGTTTGTGGCTTTGGGGGATTGGGGGATTGACTAGACTCGCAATTCTTTCGTCAATTAATATTGACTAAAAGTTCCGGTCAATTTAACATCTCATCAAGGTGACAGGCCGTCTAAAGACATTCCGAATTCGTGAGCAGCCAGAGTCCTTAGCATTTGAAATGAGGTAAGTGGAGTAGAGTAGTGGCACCTACTCTACTCTGCTTAATTAAGTTTTTAACCCTTCTTTATTCGCTAAGTGCTTATGTAGGGTAGAGTAATGCAGAATAGAGTACTGCGTAAGTAGTCCGGAGTAAATAGGCTCGAGCCTCCGTAGCGCACCTGGGTATTATTCCGCCTCCTCCCAGGATTTAGAGAGTGATAATTTGTCTAAGCGAAGCAATTATAACTTTCCTAGGGGGCCCAAAGTATGCAACAGAGTAAAAACCCCTAGAAAAGTCATGATTGTTTCGCCTAGGGCAAAGTGACTAGCGTGACCTACATACTCTAGTATAGCTAGGTTTAACGTTGTACTTACGTAGTTAAATCCACTAGTCTACTCTACTTAAGGAAACCACCTAACCTACTCTTACTCCCACTCTACTTACTTTGAGTAACTCGTGTAGTACTCGAGTAGTAGAGTATCTTTTTCGAACCATGAGAGTCCTCCAGCTAATGCTTTGTAGAAGTGGAAAGCCCTTAACATGAACAAGACTTCGCAGCTGCTTCGAATTTCCCACAGCCCATTTCCCGAAATCTATGTCAGGCTTCCGCTTTGAGTCTATGCGTTATCATCTTAATAATAGTTATGTTTTCCTCCTCTTGTGTCAGCATTTGATTGTAGTGTGGGATTGTTGCGTTAATTCTGTTCCTCCGTTTGGACTTAGAGGTTCCTTTTCTGGAAAGCAGTTTTATACTACCTTGTGAATGTTTATTTGCTCATTTCAGTGAGATTTCTTGGCTATCAATATTCCCAGAGTATCCTTGGACGTGTTCTTCATATATCCTTCACAAACTTGCCTCCAGAGTCTTAAGACAATCGTAGCCTGATTTTACAAAGGGTATGGTATCAGCAACCTATCTCATCGGAGGTTTCAGAATCATTAGTTGTTGTAGCTTTACTCCACTTAGAAAAGTCATGGTTATTGTTGGACATAGTATATTAAGCATCAAAATTTCTGTTCTTGAAACCCCTTAGTTCGTAGAGAAACCCAAACTGTGCCATACAGGAGAATGCTGGACTAGTAAAAGTGAAGAGCCAACAACTTCGCTATTGCCCATACGAAGAGTGAAAGCAGAAAAACTCCTGGATTGAACGGAGTCCTTGAAAAGTTGTTGAATCACGAGAAAAATTGACAAAGTTTCTTGCCATCAAAATAACTATCAGGTGTCCGCACCATCAGGTCCTCTCAACCTTGCTCGAGCATCCATTGATATTCTTATAATCTCTTCCAAAGATTTGAGTATTTCTTCATCTCGAAGATGATATCCAGAGGTTTCTTTCGCGTGATTTATGCTTAGAACAATTTCCGCCTTCTTTCTGTCAACGAATTTCAAAGTTGATTCCCATGAATCATCGTTCAGAGTCTTCATCTCTTCTAGATAAACCAGTTCTCTCATCTCCTGACTTTTATAAGGCCCATGTATCGCTGCATGCCACAGCTTCACTGCATACGCTTGCCCCAACCAATCGGTGCGCTGCCGACCTAGATTGCCAGCACCATTATCGAGTAGAAAATTGACCATCTCAACTTTTCCCTTCAATGCAGCTGCTTCAAGGGGGGTTTCATCTGAGATTTCTCCTCTAAAATTTATATTTGCCCCAAATTGAAGCAACAAGGAGGCTGGCTTAACAGCTCCACATCGGGCAACGAGTAGCAACAATGTGTCACCTTCTTCCCTTTTTACTCTTGCTATGGCATTTTGATCTGCACCTGCTTCAAGTAAGAGCTTTATAGCCCCCTCAGTCTGACTTCGCTGAAAGCTCCCAAAGATACAAATTCCAATCAACGTTGTTATACCTCCTCCATTGTCAATATTGAAATCAGCGCCTGCCTCGAGTAAGACACGGGCAATGTCTATGTTTCATTCTGCGCAAGCGGCATTTAGCGAAGAGCCACGGATACCGCCTCCTTGATTGACGTCAAATCCGTGCTCCAATAGAAGTTTCACTATACTCGTGTGCCCGCAACTTGCCGCGTTATGGAGGGGTGGTTTGAAGTGGCAATCAAGTAATCCAGTATCTCTCGAATATCCTGAATCAGATATTCTGACTTTGGGCGTGACCGACAGGATCTTTTCTAGGAGAGATTCAAAGCCTAGTGAAGATAGAAATGATATTGGCTCCATGGCATCATTTCCTAGAAGTAAAATTGGTTGGCAGTCAACTACGTTCCGAAGTCGTTGCTCAATTCCCATTAGCCCCACAACCTCGTTGTTATGTGATTTGTGGAAGATTTCCAGTGTAGTTGAAAGTTTCCAGGCCTCGGAATCTCCCTTCAAGAACCCAAGTGCTAGAAGATAGGATCTTGATGTACCGGGGGGCTTTGTATGCTTTGAAAGCATTTCGATTTTGTGGAAATGATATGGCCAACATGTTCTTGCGTAGTCGAAGAGTGGGAAGCGTTCAAATATTTCTATCGTTACTTCCGGCTTCTGGCTGCCCACGAAAAGCAGATAGGCAAAACAAGAATCTGTGCAGTGTAAATCAGAGGCCGTTGGATTTAGGTGGAACTCGGGTACCCTTCCTATTAAAATATCATCAGATTGTAAAAATTCCTGAACTGAAAAATGTGCAAATTGAACCATCGAGATCATGATACTTGGTTCCGGAATGCGACATCCAAAATCTCCTATAAGTCTTGTAACGGGTCGGCAACCCTTTTTCGTACATCTCGTAACGAGTCCTGCTGGCAATATTTCTAGTAAGGCCTCTTCGTCAATCCTCTCGTCCTCGTCCACATAACGCTGACCTTCATCATCAGGTCTTACTATCACAGCCTCTGCAAGCTCCTGGAGGGACACCGGCCTAGGGGAAGAAGATATCCAATGTAACGCTCTCCGGGCAAACTGCCGGTCCTTTTGTTCATCAGTTTGGAGGATGGTATGTTCGTAGATAGAGTAAAGTGTCTTGGGTAGCCTACAGACTTGTGTTAACAGATATTATTTTACTATTGGTTCATATAACTAGATTTTGGTTTGATTTCAGGACACCTTGCTTCGAGGATAGCCCGATGTAGCCGGCTAATGACATCGGATTTTTTGCTCAGGGACACATAGAAGAACCAGACACTGCAAGGTTCCATAATTCTTCCCAGTTCTCCCTGGCAGAAGAAATAATGCCCGAAGGGTAGTTTAGTAGTGATAAGAGAGGTGTGATATAAAGACTGGAGTGTCAAAAGCAGGAGCATTACCTGTCTATTTCTCTGAGGATGTCCTTTGGACTTCGGTATTTGCTCAGTTCTGTAAGTTGCAAATCAAGCAAGCGAAACCTTCCAGATCAGCCCTTTCGATCGTCAGATAATGTAATTCGGATTCACCTACATTCCATCTGCACGAGTCGCTAGTTTGTCGCTGACTGTTTTTTTCAGCTCTGACTTCCATCTACTGAACTTCTGTTTTTTGAAATTCTCTTCGAGGAAGAGGACAATATCATGCTTTACATGAGATCCCTGGATAGCGATGGATTTAAAATATCCCACATCATTCGAAATATTGTTGAAAGCCCTCAAAATATCGACCTCTTTTCTGCTGGTAACAAGAAGGTGAAGAGAGGCAATGTTCCACTCATGGATTCTAGTAATCATGCTGAGTATCGGTCTTTCTGCATCAGTCTTAGGACATTCATCAAGAGCATCGAGGAGAACGTAAATATCCTTGAAGTTGGTGACCACTGCCTTAAGCATATCCATGAGATCCTCGTAATCCGGCTGTTGATTCCCAAAATTGTATTTCCTGTGCGTGTCCCAAAGCAGTTGTGGAGTATCTCGAAGATTGCTACATATGTCGGTGATAAGTGAGCGTAGTATGTTGTTTACCTTTTGCTTCTCCGGGTTCGTAAAAGTGATGTACCAATAAACAACTGCAACACCAGGACCATTGGGATTATCTCTTTGGATATGATCAATGGCGGTGGAGCTGGGTAATATCAGTCAGCGGACCGTATTATGCGTAGCGACTGGAGCCCTACCAAAGAATGGACTTCCCGGAGCCAGCTATCGTAAATTTCGGTCAGCCCTAGCTCAAAAGGTTTCAGGAGATATAGATCTGAGATCTCTCTTTCTCCGATACTTGAATTAGGACATTGGAGAACAAGAATGCAAGTATCGCTTGCATAGTTGCAACTAGTGTAAAGACTCAGGATGACGCCATGAACTGTTGATATGAAAAACGTCGCTCACCGTTCCCATATAGCCATAATAGTGAGTTACTCGCACCCATCCAAGATTCAAAGTCATCATTTGCAACCAACCAAGAGCCTGTGGTAGCTTCGTGTTTGCCGCGAGCAATTTGATGTTCCAGAGATGGATCTAAAGCTGAGTTCGAAAGCCACTGAATGATTCGAAGACGATCGTTTTCGTCTCTAGCGTTTCTGATTTCTCTCAAGATATCCGCCGAAATGTCATACTGTTGAGAGGATATGCTCCTAATCAAGTGAGATTTGTCAGCTTCATGGAGAGAACATTTTACGAAGGATATTCGAAAGGAAATTCGGTTCCGTCATCACAAAATGCTTTGGCCCTTGTATTTAGAAGACTTGTCCCATGTGTTTCAGGTTGTTGTCCTAGAGAATCCACCACAAGCTTGAAATAGTATGAGTTCTTACAGGGCTTCAACCCCAATTTGCGTTGTCAAGCTACTCTTATGCTTCTCAAGCTGGAGTACAATCTTCTCGATATCACTCGCCTTGAACGGCTATTTCCAAGATTCCAGCTTTCTGCGAAGGTGGGAGTCCGGTGGGGTTCTAAGGTTCAAGAGAAGCTTCTTCAGCTCGATTTCAGACTGGTTTAGTGGCCCCGACGGATCAGTGAACAACTCGGGTTTGACCACGCCTTGTTCCTTATTGAGTATATCGTAAACCCGAGATAACGTGACTTGTAGCGATTGTATCGAACCGTAGAGCCCTGGCGGTGTATTGTGTTAGCACAAATGTCGTTTTCCCTAGCCCCATTGCTTCCAGTCGATATCTAAACGGTGTGTTCCATACGCCCATTCCATCCTTTTCAGCCTTCCAAAACACGCCCCTTGGAACAATGAAACATAAACGTACGTTTGATATCATCCTGAGCATTCTTAACGCCTTCATAGTAGTCTTTAAGTAAGGAGGCAACTTTGCTGGCGATATCGACGATTGCTACCACGCTTGCGGCAGCACTAATGCCATCCATGACGAGTGTTCAAACGGGTCTCCAGATAGAAGCGAATGGACTCCTGTGACTTTTGGAATAAGATATCGCGTTGTGTTGAATCTCTTTATGATGTTGCAATCAGACGTTAATCATAACTCAACCCCGCTGGCAGCCTCGTCCAGAAATGGGGGGTGGTACAATGTGCTGTACTGCAGACTCCTGTACTACAGACTCCCATGCTACATGAACTTCTGTGTATAGGTAATATATATTACAAACGGTAGTTGACTAAACTACCCCCTAAATTCTACCTCTTGAAATAAGGGTTGGTTCTGTTAGTCTCGCTTAGAAAAAGAGGTATTTCTGTTAGAATATAAAAGAGTTATAGGGTTCTATTTCTTCATAGTTTTTATAGCGTTTTATACTAAATGGCTAATATACAAAGTAAATTAATCTACTCCTACTTAATCCCTACCTCGTGTTCTACTTCTAGTAGATTTTGGAGTTGGTTAAGCCTAGTATTACTTGTTATTACGCTTACGTTTATTACTAGTTCCCTGTTCCTAAGCAATATCCTCAATTCGTTACAATGGTGCCTCAATTACGTCTTATTATTCACCAAGGTATTGCTTTTGATTGCTTTTGATTTTAGGGTCTCATTCGATAGCTTCGCCAGGGTTGCGAAGGATATACTTGACGATGTTCTTGCTACGGTTTAAGATATGCGTGCTTAGTAGACAAGTTTGAGTTGTATATGCGACGAGAACAGCGCGTCCAGATTTCTGGATACGTTGATTCGTAGGTGGAAATTGCAATCCGAGTCCTTGTTCTTATAATCAAGTCTATATAATCAAGTCTACTGTTTGCCAACTTGCAAACTCTCTAGCACCTCGTTAAAGGCGCTAGCCGTGCCCTTGTGTAAGATCATGGTAGTAGTGCTGTAGTGTTGTTAGTAGTATAGAGAGGGTAGCATATTTGCGGGATAAGATGTATTGGCGGTATAACACTATAGCTTTGGTTCACTAAAGGATAGGTATAGATCTATACAAAAAATGGTGAATATTTACTGGCAGAATTATCCCTTGTCTGCAGATTACAGAAGATTTTCTTTATCACGAGATTTGACATTATATTTGGTTTGATAACTAAGAACAAGCTTGATCAAAGGTTTGCTACTATTAGATGCTTTTGTGGTCCACCCAATGTTCATGGCTTACGAGTACAGCATTTCATAGATAGACAGGGACCCCGCACTGCCCCGTATTTAAATTTGTTTAACCAGGAGTGAGATATTCCCATCGGAATACCTAATTTGAACTTCTCAGTCCTATCCCCAATCTATTGTCCAGCAATTCTTTTACAAAGAACTAAAACGGTTTACAAACTTTCATAAGGAGCAACATTCATCCAGATTACCTTCCAAGATCGCAGTTCCCAGGTAAATAAATTCTACTCAAGAAGAATAAAGTATTAGATAAATAACAAATTTACTATTTCGCCGCTCTACATCAACATCATAGAACAATTTATGAAACCAAATGAAAGCAAATGAAATTCGAGACTCCTAACCGAATGAAAACTCAAGCCTCTATGATATTCTTCCCGAATCACTGATCTTCCAATTCCGCGAAGACCCTTTTCTTTGGCAAAATCACGCCTACACTTTCAGGGCCCATTCCTTTTTCTACATGCCTCCTCACTACTGCCCACATTTCTGGATACTGCTTCTTCATTTCTTCAGCCAACTGAAATGAAGTTTCACCTGAATCCTCAATTTGATAGAGATCCGCGCCCTTGTCAAGGAAAAGTGCGATGATGTTTGCGATTTTGTTCCTCGTGGTCTTAGATGGTTCGTGTCCATCCTTAAGCCATCTTGCTACAACCAACAAAATATTGTTCAAAGGACTGAAGTTTAAAATTGGGTTTTGAATATCTGCTCCATTCTGTAGCATAATTTCGCAAAGAAATGCCGATTTATTAATTTCGTCTTCGATGAAGTGATGTGGTGTATTGAAAGACAGTAAGTCGATCCAAGGCGTTGTGCCTTCAAATACCTCATTAACATCAGCTCCGTATTTCAATAGATCAGCAATCATAAACTTCGCATAGCTGTAGTGCCACTGATCCAAGGTGTAAAATAAAAAGGGTCGACCGCTGCCCCGCTTGACTTGAAGACCCTTTTGTGACTGTTCCAATATATATAATCTAAGACAGTAACGGATTGCGACGCATAGTAAATTGGTTTCCCAATTTTTGTGGTGTTCACTGAACATCAAGGCTACATCATACCATTCTGTATCTTGATAATAAACATCTAATTCTTCGATATAGAGTGTTTGAGCCACTTTTGTCGAAGCTTCTGCTTGATGCGCAGATTCAAAAAACAGCGATAGACTCGTTCTACACAGTTTGACACTCGGCCGGCAAAGATCAACGCTGTCAGGTTTATGGTAACATTTCCCCATCTTCACCAAACGAAGAGAGGCCGCCATAAGTGATACAAATGCATCAAAGTTCATATCGGAAGTCGTCAAAAGATGGGACATATATTTCGCACCAGCGGCTTGCGAATACTCTCCAACTGTTCGGTGTATAAACTCTATAGTACCATAGCCTGAGGAGAATCCCCATGAGTTGTTCATGTGTCTAGCATCATGAATCTAAATCAGACGCCGGCATCTACTTTTTATCCGTAACTTCGCTTTACGGCAGTATTCTTCTTCATTTATCGATTTAACATGACACAGGGCACCCCTAGGATCTTCACAAACCAACGCAAAATGGAGAAGATCCAAATGGTGGTTGATGACGACAATCAATAGCTGAAGATGATTAAGGAGGTCCTGAAGTTCTTGGTCCGTAAATCCCTCTTCGATCCCGATTATCATTTCTTCGATGACGAGCTTCACCCACAGGAATACGCCGGATGACTTCACAGTTATATCCCACACCAATCGACGTTGACAATTATCGTAAATGGCTGGGGAGTCCTCGGAAGAAGTCAACGCTACTGCCTCACGAAGCTTTCCTTCCGTATAAGATGTAATGTCCGGAGCGGTCCACTCATGCATCTTGAACCCTGGAAAACGCCATAGCCGATTCTCAATCTCGATCATAGGTCTACTCGCGAGGCAAACTTTCAAAGAAAGCTTTGAGGTGTTCGCACTTTGTATCCAAGGCAACAAAAAGCCGAGCTGCTTTCTAAGGTCTCCAGCACACCCGTCGAGGCCGTCAATAAAAAGACACGTGAGCCCGTGTATTTCTTCGAACTTGATAGCTTTAAGAGTCTTGATGAGCTCTGATTCAGACCAAATGCTTATCGAATTGGAAGAATTTGACGAGCTGAGAGGCACGTTTCGTTTGAGCTGTTGAAATTTTGGCATGACTTGTGGAATCAATTCCTTGAAAGCTCTTAACATCTGCGCTAAGAATCCATGAAGAAAGCCAAGGAAGTTTTGCTCTTCATTGCCACCCAGTTCGTGGAAAAAGAAAGACAGCATTCGAACTGGCTCTGTGGTGCTGGTTTCCAAATATTCCAAGGTCCGGGAGTCTTTCACCACTTGTTTCATGAGTGTCGACTTGCCTGAGCCTGGTTTACCGGAAATCCAGAAAATATGTTTGCCATCTTGAAGCCATTCCAGAAGTCCAGGTCCCGCAGGATGCTGTTCCCACAGCCATTCGAAGCTATGAAAGTAGGGGTCTTCGATTCTATCTTTTCTCGGATTGCGGCCATGTGGTTCTAGGCTGCCGAAAAGCTCTAATCCATGGTCAGAATGAACCATAGTAAATGCACTCTAGGGGTATGAACTCACCATCAATCATGTCTTCGTTCATATCCTTGTCCTTCCTAGTAGCTGAAGTAGAGGGTCAGACAATGTCTCAAGTCAAATGATTAAAAGACGAATCAGAAAATCTTTGAAGATAGAGTTGAGCTTGGATTGAAACCCTCTGCAGAACCAAAACAGTATCCAGTACTGCACTATATTTGCAGAAGAACACGCCATGCTATGTAGAATTAAGGGGAAACCGAAGTCAACTCAACTTGGCTTCCCCCAATTGGTCACAGAATGACCAGGTGTCCAAGGTTTTCAGCCAGCAAACTAATTGTTTGGATATGATGATGTTGGTCTGCGCTTCTAATAGAGATCTTTGCAACGGGAAATTGACTAACAAGCTTTTGCTGCATCGTCTACAAGCTCAACCACATCTCCCTCCACAAGGAAGTAGTTTTGCGCATCTCTCTCCACATTGGGGTGAAAGCGACACATGGATCTATGATCTGCATTTAATCGAACTTGGTTCTCGCGATCACCAGCAAGGCCGAAAACAGCGGACTCTCGAGGAACAAGCTAAGCAAATCAGATACCTGCTTGCTATAGATTTAGGCGGGAAATCGTACGTTACCAATCCCCTCGTAAAAAGACACGACTCGGTATCGTTCTAGTTGATGCCTCCAACCTTCTTGTAGAACATCAGAGAATAGCGATCCGCTCTTCAAAGCTTTCATGGTGTCGTTGGAAGGATTTGTTGGAAGCGATTGGGCAATCGAGGCACATATGCGCCCGAACATTACTTTGGCGTCTTCGGTAGGGCCGGCATGGGGCGTATCAAAGAACACAAGACCAGTTCTGTTCTTGTCAGCTATGGTGCACAATATCAGGCTTTGCTGGATTTACGTATGATCTTTAATCTTGTGGTATCTGGGATTTTGGCTCGCGTTTACTAGTGCCTAAGTAGTATTTATTATTTGTCCAAATCACTCGTATAGTAGAGCAATATGGAAACATACCTGTTTAATCAGAATTCCACCAAGGCTGTATGCTACGAGAATTAAAGGCCGCTCTGGTTCCTGTAACAAAAACAAGGTTAGCGAAACACAAACTTTGTTGGGGAAAACATGAATTATAATCCAACCTCCAATCTGGAAAGATGTAAACACTCCAATAATGAATTGGCATGATGGATAAATCTCTCTTTAATAGCCCCGAAAGCTGGACTAGAGTCATAAGAATACAGCAGTGTCCGTATGTTCGGTCTCCTGAGCGGAAGAGCATCTCGAAGCCAGAGATGTTTGCTGTCCTGCTCTTCCCACGTACGTTCAGAGTGTTTGTCTTTATTTGTCGGGTTCAATCCGTGAATGGCGACGATACTTGGCGGAATTAACATCCATCCCTCGTGAATGTTCTATGGGCTGCTTACTCGACGGTTGTTGGGACTCCAACTAGATCAGATTTGGGGTTCTCGTATAGTAATTTGATAGGCTACATAGTCAGACCCAGGATCAGGCTGAAGATGAAGGAAAGAGCTCACCATGTTTTCTCAGCAGTAGATTTCAGAAACAGAGTTGAGTTGAATATAGAATATACTTCATGGCAGCCCTTCAACAGACAGATCTGTAGAATAAGTTCGCAGGAATAAAAAGGCAAGATTTGAGGTAGTCCCAAAACGATTTTCCCAATTTTGCTATCACAGCTCAGGGACTGCAATCATCACTTCTCAATAATGAATAGAAGTTATCGACAAGCCCATGAGCACATGGTCATTGTTCTCTGTAAGGGATGAAAGTTGTCGAGTTCGCTGGCTCTCGTTCAGCGAGAAGCTATGTTTCTGCGTCGACAGGTGTTGATCACTACTCAAGTCTTCGGCCAGCATTGAAAGCCGTATGCACTGCCCCGCCCATGATGAGAAAAGCAGTACTGAATGGCTCGCCCCCCCTTACAGTGTCGAAGTTCCTCGTGTAGCTAGCTCTGCGTGGTTATTTTGAGAAGAATGTTGGTGACTTTCTTATGTTTCTAGCGTTGATATTTACCAGAAAAATCAGGAATCGCCTTTTTAATGCCGTCGTGATCTATGATAGCTGTGTCCAGTTTTTGGCTGCTTTCATAGTGCATTGCAAGGCAGAACAGGCAGAATAGGTCCAGCTTACCATGCATACGAGGCACTTTTGAATGAGGATCTGTTCTGCATTTTTCCAGTCAGCTCATCATGACATCTTAATCGTCTTATTTCCTACAGCTGAACAATTACTTCGATAAAGAACCCTTTTTGAAACCTTCTTGAATTCCCGGAGAACCTTGACTCTGTATAAAGAATAATCAAAGACAGTCAAATACAACTGGGGTCATCAAGCTTTTGTGACACCATGTATTACTTTACAATAGACTGTGCATATATCAACAACCCGATTCCCGATCCCTCTTCAGATCCAATCGAACAAGCTTACCAACAATTTCGTGATAGACTCGCGCCTTCTGAGTGCTGAGATGGGCTTCTTCACACCAATATTTCCAAGTAAGAAGCCCAAAGTGCAAAACATCCGCAGCTTTATCAGCGAGGTGGAAAACTCGTCGAACACCCGACGAGAATGAGTTGATAAGCACTTACCGCAAACCATCCCCATTTTCGCCCAAATCCTCCACTCCACAGGCCCTTCCCACGCTCACAAGCGCCCAAAAAACGCCCCAAAAAAGCCCAAGACAAGAAAAAGCGAAAGACAGGACAACAAAAACGCCCCAGAGGAAAACCAGAGCATCCAAAGAAAAGAAAACGGGCTTAAAAAAGCAAAAACGTACCCCTCACTTCCTCATTCCCTCATTCCCTCATTCCCTCACTCCCTCACTCCAGCGCGGGTAGACCTCCAGCCAGCCAGTCAGCCAGCCAGTCAGCCAGCCAGCCAGTCAGCGAATCGTGTCGGTGGCACGGGCACAGAGGCTCTGGTGACATTCAGTCTCCCCAACGTAGTCGCCCCAACAACAATTGAATGCTACAGGACTGCGAAGCAGGAAGAGTTACTCGGTAGGGACTCAATCCCTCACCGCCCCCCAACCTCCCCTCCCAAAAACACGGGTAGAAATAATCGAGAAAAGAAAGAAAGAAATAACCAAGCCAAGAAATAAAACACAGAAAAACGAAAATATTAACCAAAAAGCCTTACGTCAAGTACCCCTATCCCGATCCTAATCCCGGGTATCCAAAGAAGGAGCTCAAATCCCTCTTCCTCAGCTATGTAATAGTTACAAGTTATAATTTACGGAAGGGGAAAAGAGGAAAAGAGGGTGTTGGTGTGACTCTAAGTCAATAGAGCCGAAAGATAATAAGGAAAGTATGATGCAAGGCTAATAGTTTAGTATCGAATATATTGTATTATAAAGACTATTAGTTGTATACACCGAGTAAAGGTGTTATAAGTGCTACTACTATTATATAATAGTGCTTTGTAACGAATACTCAAACTGGCTAACTAAACTTGGCTGGGTGTTCGCTGGTTGGTATGCTATAATAAGAAGAAGGCTATCGGGTTGTTCACTTGGAAGTGAACTCGTTACTTGTATCAAAGATGTCAAACTAATATGATAAGA